ATTTCACTGGAGGTGAAAGAATAGGGGACATTATTATTAATGCAATCTTCTACTTTCTATTGTTTCTTCTTTGCCTTGGTACTGTGGATTTTCACATACGACTAGTTACTGTTGCCTGGATAACTTATATAAAGACTGAGGGGTTTGTTTGGGGTAACTCATTTCACATTGGTCCCCATCTGTATCCCCAAATGGGATGTGTCTCATCCTAAGAACAATGAAAGAGAAAGAACACTTTGTTTTTATTAAAGAAAAGTAGCTGGGATTATTATTATTTAAGGGAAGCTAAAAAGTTATTTGGTTTGAAACTATTTTATATCATCTTTCAATCGTATTCCCAGGCTAGTTTATAAAAAAGAATGAAGCAATTAAATGGGAATAATAATAATCTAGAGTCCGCAAAATTATAAAGCAACATAAAGAAGTCAGAAGGATTACAATGAGATTGAAAAGACTGGAGAAAATAAAGGGTTTTGCCTAAAGCCAAAAGGACAGTATGGCAGGTGTGGAAGAATATTTAGGTCTTTTTGGACCTTGGGCTATATGAGCTTGCAGTGTGTGTGGAGGGTGGGTGGGTGGGGGGACTTTGACAGCTGTGTATTACTTAAGTGATGAAACACATAACTAATGTTTCTGTGCCCCTCCACAACTGCCATTCCATGGTTTACAACTAAACTTCCTGATATTTTAGAGCAACATTGTCTGCTGACCCTGGGGTTTTTTTCTGTTTTATTACTCAGAGCAGGTGCAGGTTTGCATTTTAAACTCACTTAAATCACAGCACCATTATGGATCTTAAGGCCATCATTGCCTTCTGTTTTTGGGTGGTCGTTTGGGCCGTGTCCCCAGCACCCAGCTGCACCACATGGGGGGTGCCAGGCAAACCTCCCTGAGGAGAGCATTCCTTAACTGAAGTGCCACCCGTGTTAACTAACAGGGCTAGCCCAGCTAGAAAGCTGTCTCACCGGCAGGTGTCCTTCCACTGAAAAGCTTCACATAAAATTAAGTTATAAATGGAGACTGGTTTTAAGCCATGAAGGAATTTATGTATCCAAATCAGCTCTTTGACTTGCACCTGGAAATGGACTGGGAGTTAATGCAACTTTTATAGGACAGGCATAATATGATCATAATAATACCCACTTTGTAATCTCTCAGTGATGAGAGATGAAGAATTTATAGCATTGAAAAAGGTGCAGAAAAAAACTGTTCGGCTTAGGAAAAAGGTGAGAAATAGAGGTATACAAAATTATGCACTGTGTGGGGAACTGGATGGATTCTCCTCTCCCACAGAGCACAGAATGATTCCATGAAGCTGATTGGTGGAAAATTAGTGCTTCTCTACACGGCACATAGTTAAACTATGAAATTCATTTTCACAAGAAGTAGTGATGACCACCAATTTGGTTGACTCTAAAAGGGAATTGGACCCATTTATGGAGGAGGAGGAGGAGGGAGCAGTGGTGGCAATTAGTGGCTACTAGTCCTGATGGTGCTAGTGCTACCTCCAGCATCTGAGGCAGTGTGCCTTTGTACAACAGTTGCTGGGGAAGATGGGTGAGAGGCAGCTGTCGCACTCATGTCTTGCTTATAGGTTTCCCATGGGCAGCTGGTTGGCCACTGTGTGGACAAAATAATAAAAAGTGAGTCTCATACTTTAGTTTGGAACCAGAAAAGGCTAAAAGTTGAATACTAATTCTGTGTCTTGGTTCTGTTGTAAAGATGAAGAATGATGCCTAATCTTCTGTTGGTCACTCTATTCTAAGAAGTCATGTGAAAGTATGCAGTAACAGCCTGATCTTATGCTCTGGCACTCTGCTGCCTGAGTCTTATCGTTCATTCATTCATTCATTGTTTTTCTATATGGCTCCACAGCCAAAGTTCTCTGGGCAGTTGGCAATCCATTTGCACACCTTAAGCTTCATGTTTGAGGTGGGGAAAGAGTGCAGGTTTAACGCTTGGTTTTGTGCTGAGTTTGTCATTCAGCACATGACTGGGGACAAGATCCCATGTTTTGGGTGAGGAGCAGACTCTGGCGACCAAAAATGCTTTGTTGCTCACTGAGTGTACAATTGATTGGTTCGAAAGTATTAATCTTGAAGCCAGAATGTGGGTATCATTCACTGGATCAGGAAATGGGATTTTATTTATATTTATTTTCAGTTTATATGCTGCTGAATAGCCAAACACAATTCAGGAAGAATCAAGGCTATGTGACAGAAGGCTAGGAAAGAAAGAAATGGCGGGCTGGAAAGGGAAGATGAGGGTGGAAAGCAGCAGTGGGTGGACAAAGGTGAATGCAAAACTAGGAGGAAGGGTGGGAAGAATGGTGGAGAACTACATAAAAGTCAGTGCTGGGGAACAGGCTTGGAAAATTGGGATGAAGGGGAGTTGAGGCAGGATTACACAACAGCAGAGGAAGAGTGAGAGAAATCGAGAGCACAAGGTCCTCTCCTCTTAACTTTGGCTGACCACTCACCACATTTGCCTACAGATCTGTGCTCACAGTCCAAGCCACAAAAAGCACACACATACAGAAAGAAGGTAAACCATGAGTTCCAGAGTATTCATGCAAGTGAGCCAAGCCACACATTGTGAGATGAAAGATTCCTCCCAGAAGACCACATGAGGCATTAAATGGGAGGCACATGACTGGGGATCTTCCACTGCTTCCATCCATGCTTAAAAGCAGTTGTAGGACCAATTTAGATTTGGACTATGGAGCTGGGGGGGAGCGAAGAAGATCACCCTCCCCTTTCAGGGCCATTTCCCCAATGGAAGTTCACCCTGCTGCACCCTTCCTGAACCTGCTATGTTGGGGTAAAGTGACTGGGACAAGATATGTACCTATCTTATTTATGTCATTTCTATACCACCCCAAAGCCAAGAAGGTTCTACTAATAGCTTCCTCCCCACTGCCCCAGGGGTGTAATTTAAATTGTCAAAGCAGTGCAGAGGGAAGGTGCCACAATTACTCTCCTACAATTTGTTTGAATATGGTGTGTCTTTAACTTACTTGATTTTACATACTTGCCTCTCTTCCTCTGGATATGTAATGCTGCCACCCGGAATTTCATTCTAATCTTTTAAATTAACCTCTCCCACAGTATTGTGTCCAAGCTATAAGACTCCTTCTTTGGGCGATATGGTCCTGAGGGTAAAACTGGTGTTCAAACAGCCTATGACTCTGAGTTAACAATAAGCAAAATAAAACTTTATTTGTACAAGAAATGTATTGGTTTCAGTAATGTTCAGTAACTTATGGCTTTAGTCAGTAAAACAGTGTATAATAACTTCTGACTGAGGTATCTCACTCTTTCCTTCTCAAACACTCCTCACTCTTAAATTATCCTTTCTCTTCTGACTATTCTTTGACCAGTCTTTCTTTATCTTAGTTCACTCTTTCCCTCCTGCACTCAGCTCTCTGTCAGCTTCTATCTCTCACACCCTTATAATGCTTGACAATATTAGGTTTGACTCTCCCTCTGAATATTCTACTTATTCTTCCCTTTCTTAAATGCTTTTCGCAGCACTGTCTGGGATTCTGATGAGAAGGCTGCATCTTCAGATTCTGCAGATTTGTTGAATGGTCATAGCTCTGACTGAAAGTATCTATTTCTCTCTCCTTGCACACTTCTGAGCTCCTCCCACACACTCTCAGTCACCAGCCCATCACCTCACTCAACCCCCCCCCTTTTATTCCCCTTGTTCTGAAACTTACCAACATTTAAAGGAGCCCAGTCTCATAACACTGTAAACCATTACAGGTGTCATATAAACCTTGATTTGGCCAATAGGCCTCCTCTTCCCCTGCAGCTTCTTTTAAGCAAAGAAAAAGATGCAACTCCCAGATCCCCCACATGATGTCTAGTTTGGTTCTCAGCCTCCCAATCAAAGTAGTGCTGGCATTTCAATAGAATAGGCACTTGACTGGCAGTTAATGAGCCATCAGATTATTGTACTTGGATTAATAGTGCCCTGAGCAGCTAATGCAAATATTGCCATACAATGGACCAAGGTAGCATTGCCAATCTACATTTCGTTGTTGTTGTTGTTCATTTGTTTGATTTTAAAGAGTGGCGGGAACTGCATTTGGTATAGTAACAAGATACACCCAGTTGGGGCTTCTTCTATTGACCTGTTGTATTCTATAATGAAATAAAGTCAGGGACAGATGCACTTCTTAAGGCAAGATTATTTCCATAACCACAGATTGGGTTCTGAGCACAAACAAAAATCCCTTTAGAGTTTGTAACATTAGCATTATTATTTATATATTAAAAAAGGAAACTGGGAATGACCAACATAGATCACTGAACTAACACAGTAACAAAGTGCTCTACCTCCCCTGAAGTCAAATGTGAACCTTTGCTAAGGGGTGGAACATATCATTCTGTGTCTCTGGCCTCCTTCTAGTCTGCCCATAATTATTTAATGATGCATGTTTTAAGAGAGTCCAAATAAAGTTGTGCTCAACCTCATGAAAGTGTCATATTTTCAAGCAAAATGTTTGCACATGTCCTGCTGTTTACTGGAGCAATACTTTGCCTGTGGCTGCAAGCCTGGAGGGCTGGGAATCCTTTTGTGCAGGGAAGGGGGAAGGCAAGGTAATGAAATAATCGGGCATGTTCTTAAAAGCTTTCCCCGTCTCAGGTGGAAGCTTCCTAAGAGCAGCAGCCCAGCCTGCCTGATGTCAGGTAAGCCGTTTGCAACAGAAAGCCCTTGTTTACAGAAGCCGTCCGAACCTGCGATTGAGTCTGTAATACCTTGATCCAATCAGAGGGCAGGATTTTCTGACCTGGGTATTACAGCAGTGTTTATACTGTCCATAGGATTTCAGGATAAAATCTCTGAAGAACAGGCAATTGTACACCCATTTTATAATCAAGCATTTGATATAGACTTTTTTGTTCTGATACAGAAAGGAGCAAAACCCCTCTCCCTTGACGATTGTGTTCATGTTGTTTCCTTCTCTCCCTCTCCCTCTTTTCTTCTAATAGGGAGAGATGTCTCAGTTTTCTTGGGCAGCGCTCCGTGGTAAATTCAGGTCTCTGCTCACAACAGAACCCCAGGAAGATTTGTGACAGATGGGGCTAAGTCACAAACTTGCAGCCTAAGGCAAAATCTGTAGAACTTTCCAGAGTGTGCCCATATTTACCTGATCAGAGAGAAAAGAAAAGCTGCAGAGGAAGCTCAGCCTGGCTGCTTGTCATAGCTGACACAGAGCCATCTGCCACAAACCTGTGGCGGCTTCAGATCTCCAATCCCTGCCACCACCCCGACTCAAATTAAATACAGATTCCGAGAGACGTTACGATGGTTACACATGTCCTCGGCATCACATGCAGGAGACTGTTCAGAAAAAAAAAGAAGAAGAAGAGGAGAGAAAAGAAATGTGGCCTGTTGTATAACTGCACTCATGTATCCCATATGTGGTGCCACATTGAATTTCCGGTTGAATCTGTTTCTCTCCTTTGTACTGGATGACACGATGCCTGAATTCTTTCTCTTTGCTGACGTGATGGCAGCCAAGATTGCAGCTTCAAACGCTCGCTTCTTGGCTGCCTTTCCACCCAGGTTGCCAGGTTATCACTGCAGCCTCACTGTGTCCTCCGAGGGCCACAGGGTCTGAAAGGAGGGCCAGCATCACCTGGACTAATTGGGCAGGCCTCTAGGAATTGTTCTGAGGCAAAGGGCTGCTTTGCACTTTTTGTCTTCCCCTCTCTTTCTCTCCTCCCCCCTTTTGCAAATTAATGACTCTGTGGCACAGGGGTTTTTAAACGAAGGTATTAATAAGGGTCTGGCAGGTACTCCCATGATTCACAGAGCTACATTTGCATTTAATTAATCTTAAAGAAAGCTGCAAGATAAACAGCTGTAATTCAAACTAGCATGGGAAATATGCTACATGGTGCCATCTATCCGATAAAATGAAAGCTGAGACACTTGTTTTATTTCTCTCAAGGTTGAAGAACAAACAGATAGACGTCAGAATGGTTTTACACACACACCAGTTGTTTTAACATTACTGCCTGGCTCATTTTAAGGGGGGTGGGAGGAGAACTTTGTATCCACCTTACAAATATAAGCAGTTCAAGAGAAATTCACTACTATTCTAAGTCAAGTGGCTGCATTTGTACATGTTGAATGTTTTGAAGATTTGTACAGTGCTTTTTTAATAAAGTGCCCACTGCAATTTTTAATTAGTATATTCCATTCATGTATAAGTGTGTACATCTCTCTGTATGTTTATCTCTGCACATGTCCTTGTATCAGAGGCAACGGAGATTTATCTGATATGCTAGACTCTGTTTTGCAAATGATAATGAAATGTTCCTACAGCTCCCCCAAAATTTCAGCTGTGTTCCAAGAAGAAGGTGCAGCTGACATAGATGAAAATGATAAAAGCAGCTGGGCTCCCCCACCCTTCTGGGCAGGCAGTTTTTCAGCCTTTCTGCACTGGATCCAGATATTCATATCCGAAGAAGCACCTGTCATACCAAAGGTTGTGGTTTACTTTTCTGTCTCCTTACAAGAAAATCTCCCTGCTGTTCAGTAATTGACAGAGAAACATGATAGAGGAAAACTTCTACATAAACCTATGCTGCCCTTGTAACTCTCAACCAGCATTTATCTGTTGCTAAAAACAAAAGTTGAGGGCATCAGGATAGTGAGTCAGATGCAGAAATATCCCCATTTCCATATAGCTGGTTTGATATATAAGCTGCCCAGATAAAATCCTAGTTGTCATATTAGAGTGCCTGTTGTAATAAGGAGATACTTTCACAATCTGAAGACCCACAACTACCATTGCCAAACTTCATCTAGGCTGCTAATAGAAAAGCCCATTAAGAAAATATGCTGCCCACCCTCCAGCTTTAGGTATGGCCTACCCTAAAGGGAGGTGGTAAAGATCAGATCACTCCTTACTTCAGAGGCACTTCTCTATGCAAAGGCCATTTCCCAAGATTCAACCACATTCTAGGATGGCGAAAGCAGAATAAAGTGCTAGATTTCAGGCTGTGTGTAGCAGATGCTATTTTGAATGTGCCTGGATATTAGGAAAACTTGGGGCACATACAATGGGGGCATCAAAGGCTTAAGGAACGTATTGTGTAGACTACTGGGCTGCTAGCTCAGTGCAGTCTCTCCTGACTGGCCCTGGTTCTCCAGGAGTGTTTCCCAGCCCTACCTGGAGATGTACGTAGTTGAACCCAGGACCTTGTGCAATAGGTGCTCTGGAATATGTGCTTTGCTGCTGCTGTGCCACTTTTATAATTTCAGGGAATTTTTTTGTTCTGTCATGGCAGAACATGAAAAAACGTGCTTGCCCGCTTTCGGGCTGAAGTGGTACAGGGGATAGAGAGGAGTTGTGTAGCGGGAGGGATAAGCACCAGCCTCTTGCCCAGAACTTCTCTGCATCCAACTCTACCCTGGGCCCAACTGGGAGAGGCATTGCCTGTGCTGTAACATAAATGTTAAGACAAAAGACAGAATGTGTTAGCCTGGCCTAAGTAAAGCAGAACTGAAGTAGCCCACAGTTTAGCCTTCAGCTGTGGAAGGAACCCAGCATCACCACTGAAAGGGCAGAGGGACATAGGATTTATTGATTTCTTTCTATAGCGCCAAACAGCCAAAGCTCTCGGGGCATCCCCAGCAAATAAACCACAAACTACAACTTAAGATACACTATAAACATGTAAAGCTGAAGTATAAAATAGAACTGAATACCAAAATAACACCTATTGGCAAAGGCAAAGATTAAAATGCAATAATATTCAAATCAGATGCTGAAAGACTAGATTGCCTGGGGAAAAAGCACCTGACCCCGGGATGAGCCCCACGTGGATGCCCATGAGCCATTCATTCCACAATCCGAGTGCCACAGCGGAAAAGGCCCTCTTCTTAGAAGCAACCCGCTTCACTTCATTTGGTGAGGGATCCTGGAGAAAGACTGCTGAGGATGATCCTGGGGTCAGGGCAGGTATATATGGGAGGGGGGGAGAGAGCAATGCAGCCCATAGCCATTCAGGACATGAATGTTACTACCTATACTTTGAATCAGGTCTGGACATGGACCAGCAGGCAGTGCAGATGGTGAAGTACTGATATAATACAATCACACTGGCCACTCCTTGTTAACATTCTTGCTGCCCCATTTTCGATCAGCTGGAGCTTCCGGACTATTCTCAAAGGCAGCCCTATGGATGAGACATTGCAGTGATCTGGACAACCTGTTGCCAGAGCACAAAGGTCTGTAGCTAGGCTTGCTCTGCACAGAGAAGGGCACAATGGTCTATCAGCCTAAGCTGATAGAAGATGCTCTGTGCCACCAGGTCCACCTGTGCCTTAGTGACAATGCTGTATCCATGAGCCCCTCCAATCCATGGACCTGATCCATTAGAAGGTGTTCATCCCCAACCAAAGCAGGCTGCATGCCAGTCATCTCGGGGGTGGGGGGTTAGTGCCTACTTCTCCCTTTGAAGAGGCTGGCATCAGTCTCTCTCTCAAGGAGGAATTTATAACCTGTTGGACCCAGCCTGATATCCCCCCCCCGCCGCCGCCTTTAGATGCAACAAGCCATGAAGGGAGACGGTCAAGCAAGCCCTTTTATCCATAACCAAATGGTGGATGAGGCCTGATTTCATTTTGGACCAGCCTGGCATTCAACAGCAGCCTCACCAGACCTGAGGACAAGCTGATCAGAAACCATCTGGTTGGAGGAGGAGCCAGAAGAGGGAACAGGTATAAGGTGTCTGGCCCCGCTTCCTCTCGCCTGCAGTGCTGCAGTGCCATACGTTACCCTACCGTTTCCCCCACTACATTATTCAGTGAAGTACCATTACTTGAGATCCAGGAAGGTCACTGCTAATCAAAGGCAGCATTGTTAGGATAGATGAATAAAGGGACCACTCTTAGCCTCTTGGTTAGGTGCATGCAGGAAGAGCTGGTCCTCAGAAAGCCCAGCTGCAAAGCCAGGAAGGGCCTTGAAGGTCAACATGAGTATTTTGGGGAAATGAACTGAGAACAGCGCAGGTGACAAAATACTGGGCTGTGGGGCGGCATAGAAATGAGATGATGGCGATGGCAATGATGTTTGTAATGCCTAGTCCCACTTAGCCAGCCATATTTGAGACCAATTAAAGCTGATGGACCATTTCTAATACATTGTAGTAATAAGCCTATGCCTTTCCTGAACTGCATAAGGGCAGGGCCTGCTTTGGCCCTGACGCCTGCATATGCAACAGGCACCCTATGTCCAACATCTCTGCAATCCTGCTATAGATCACCAGCAGCAGGGGAAAGCAAACTATATTAGAGGAGGAAGCGGAAAGCATTCTCTCCACCATCTCTCCTGGCTCTCTTTATTGGGAACACTGAGATCACTGAGAACACAGATAGGCTGGTACAGCCACTCTGTGCCACTGACAGAATTTGTGCCATTAAGGACAAAGAATGCATCAACGGGCATGGCCCAAACCACAAACGTGATACTTCAGGGGAATACAATTTCTTCAGCCCAGACTGAACACTCACCTGGAAAGATGGAACGATCCACCAACAGTTTCAGTTTGTCTGGACTTCAGTTTAATTAGCCTTAATTTAGACGATTGCTACTGCAAGGCACTGATTTAACAATCTACCTTCACCTGGATTTATGGAATGGAGAAATATTGTTGAATCTCATTCACGCATTGAATGAGACTCAACATTTTACTATCTACACTAGTTTTGTGTAGATAGTAAAAAGCATGAGAGATAAGATTGAGTCTTGTGAGACCCCACACAGTGAGCGGAAATCCTGAAGCAATCCCTTCCGGGAATGGCCATCCAAGTATGAGGAACCATACTGCCAATCCTTTTATTCGACGGCATTTCCCAAATGCCATGGTAGATGGTACTCAAGACTACATCCAGGAAAATCAACATGGTTGCACTCCCAGACTCTCTGCAAGCAAGGCTGATCCTAGCCAGGTTGGTTGGTTGCTTGTGTTCTAGTTCACAGATAATGCTGATTGGTCAAAATTGTTTTATGTATTTCTTCGCCTCTCAGAAATATTAAAATCATGTGTGTTACATGCATGCACAATCATGCCACCAAAGATGGAGGCATAACATATGGGGAGAAGATTGTCCACTACTCTTAAAAAAAATTATGGCATCTGGTGTTATTTTTAAGACCAAATAGTTAGAACTAAAGCTGGTGTGAATCCCTCAAACCAATACCAGAAAGGTCTGAGCTATGGTCAACTACACTGCATACAAACAGAATTTTCTTTGAGGAGAATAAAGTGGAAATCTGAGTCACTTTTAAATATGAACTTTGATCACAAATGGTTCATCTTGTGGCTTCTGTTTAACTATATACCATCTAAGGTGCAACGGTGTTTAAAATGAAGAACAAGTGAAGGCTCTTTCAAAGCAGCAGATTTTTTGATTATGTCAAAGGAAGTGATCTTCTGCCATCATCATGAACCAGAAAATTTCTTCCAGCTGTTGTAGTGGATAATCATCAAAATGGTCATCAGATATTCAATTCGTACTCTCTCTCTTTCAGAAATTCAATATGCGTTTTTCTATGCTGGGCAAGCAGTATGCTGAGATTGCCTGGTTGCCACCTGGAGGTAGTGCAAATTCCTTCAGAGCACAGTCCAATGCGTGTTTAGGCAGACAAATATCCTACCACTCCCAGCGTCCCCCAGCCATCCAGTTTTCTGTCCAGAATTGTGTCCTTAAAAGGGCTGAAGAAACGGGCAACAATGCAAATGCAGTTCACCCCATCCCATTTGTGGCTTTGCCCCACAGCATGAGAGACAAGTGGATGATGCTGCACTGAAGTGCTCCGGGGTGATGTCAGGCAGGCGCCAGCGCTGGGGTGCTTTGCGAGGGGGGGGGCGGGTCTGCTAGAGGCGTGTTTAATGTTTTCATGGATATCCAGCCACGGTTTGAATGGTATATTTAAAATATTTTCATTCTTTTGCTTTTTGATGTTTTTTCCTTTACTGTTCACTGCATGATAACCCTTTTATATACAAAGCTGTTTCTAAATGTTATGAAGTAAGTTTTTTGAAAAAATGACATAAAGTGACAGTTCAGAAATGACACGGGAGAGAGAGAGAGAGCGCGCAGTCTTCATTTGATGCTTTGCTGATGGTGCAGCGATACTGTGCAATGTGCACCTATGAGAATTACAGAACCACCG